TTACCTTCTGATAATTTATCAATATATTCTGAATTTAAACTTATAATACCACCACATTTTCTTTGACAAAAAATCAGCATGCAATACCTGGGGTTTTGAAAAGATATCAAATTGTGAAAATGTTTGCATTATTCAAAGAAAAATGTACAAAAATTACAAAACATAATTTCCAGATTTTTTTTTATCAAACATTGTTTTAGAAGAGGTGAATCCATATATAGACATTAAAAGTATTGCACGCAGGTCCTTTATTTAGTGGAACTCTTCAACCCCAGGGAAGAACCCAATAAAGTTCAAACTACGTTGCGTACGACCTTAACAGTCCGGATAAATTTTTTGTCGATAAGATTCGTCCCGCCCTCCCGTATAGCCTTTTTACAGAGGTATAACGGTCTAAAATTCCAATTTGCCATTTGTAGACAAATGTCACTAATACCCAAGTTTACTACATCTTTCATTTTGCATATTTTGAATCTATGTTGGTGATATCTCGAGCATTACACATAATTTAACAAAAGTGTGGTGCTCCTACATGTATTTTCACAGTCGTTTTCACAGGAATCGCATCGGAGTAAAAACACTTTACTTCTGTTAGTACTTCAAATCCACGTCAGAAATCTACATACATAGTAATAGAACAATATAAAGATACATTTGAGAAAATTGTCGAAAAATTTCGCGAATTATAGAAAATAAATGAGTTAAATTTTGGGTTCCGCATTCTTTTGTTTTAATTTTTTTGTCGTGCTCCGTATCTCTCCGTCAGCGATATTAACACAGCGATAATTTTAGGAGAAAGTTTTTAAAATACAGACATTTTGCCCAAAATTTATTGGAATCTTTAAGAAAATTTCTATATGACGTCTGTAAGAGTAAATATTAGCAGAGTCCGCGTAATTTTTGAACGGCCCTCGTATGTGGTTCTATTTTGATTTTTTAAAAATTTTTGTTATTGCATTCAGTTTATCAAAAATAAATAAATAAATAATGAAAATAATAATAATAACTAGATGAGATCTCGTTGCGAGCAACGAGTAGGTCTTCCGTCCGATTTCTCGATCAGATGAGATGTGATTTTGACTGAGATATTCGTAAAAAGAGAATGGTTTAAAGTTTTCCTTAAATTTTTATTAAATTTCTTTCTTTTGATTCATATCACATCTTGAACATCTTTTGTTCAATATGGTTTATTTGTTCAATATGGTTTATTGAAAGACTTCTGACCCCTCTGAGTCCCTAATGTGAGGGATCAGCCCCTTTTTTCTTGATATCAAATGGTCAAATATCAAATGAAAGGTCTTATTATATTGCACATCTTTTATTATATATGTCTTAACAAAATATTAAGAAGGAAAAAGATATAAAAGAAAACGTGTCAAATTTTGCGAGATGCTTGTAAACCCATTTTTTTGAGCCCAGGCGAGCGTCGATGCCTTTTTCCCTGGAGAGGTCTAGATGCAAAATGTCACATCTATACTATCCTTCCACTATCTTCACTGAAAATCTCAACTCAATATCTTAAGACAAGCCAACCCTCTAAAAGTCAGAAAATCGTCCATATCTAACGACTGGAAGTGACGTCATCGACGACGAAAATTTCCGACAAGGTTCAGACGAATATCTATCAGACCTGAAAGTTTGGTGAAAATCGAGCAAGTTGTTTCTGAGAAGTCGCGTGCACAAAATCGGTAAGAAAAATTATAATAATAGGGAAAAAGAAACCGAACGAAAACAATAAGGTCTTCCGTTGGAGACGGAAGACCTTAATAAGTTTTTCTTTCCTGGCTTTGGTTTAATAATTACATGAGAAAAGATAATGATGTGTGTATTCTACCTTAAACTGTTTAACTGTTAAACTGTTAAAATTATATTAAATACATCTTTCTTCTTTATTTTCAAGCTTGATTAAAGTTTGATTTCCCACCTACCGATGTGCAAACATCAATAATTAATTAATGTTTACTTTCGCCCACAGTTATTTCTTATTCATTTTTACTAATTTTTAATTTAGCGCTCAAAAGTTTCACACATTGGCTTTAATGTTAGTTAAGAAACAAAATATACCTAACACTTCCACACGTTATTTGCTTTTAAAACATTTATACAAAAAAAAAGAAAATCTTCACACTTGAAACTTTTAAAGTTACCTTTTAATAGTTCAGTTAGGGGGTCACTTTATGGAACTAAAATGAAAACGTGAACTTAATCTATAATTCCTAATTTTGACAGGCAAAACTATAATTTCCAAATAGTGAAAAATCTTTAGTAAACTACATTATCAAATTCTGAATAACCCAAAACTTTTTGCTTTTAACATTTAAAAAATAAAATTACTATCCAATAAACTCTGAATTCACGCTATTTTAAACTAATTAGAGGATTTATTTTTATTTCTGATTAACAATGAAACATGTATTGATAATTTCCAAATTCGTTCAATTATGCAAATCATATTTTAACAGAGTACAGTACATGGACCTATTAAGCGAGTAGATTTTTGATATATAAAGAGCTAAATAGTGTTACATCAGGGTTTCTGATATACTCCTGTTATGTAGAGAGGAGTGGATCAGGAGTCCTTGACGTGGCTGTCGTTGTATTGCTAAATATTTTTCGTTTTCCTTTGTTTCCATGACTCTGTAACCTTTTTGTCCCGAGGAAGAGACAAGACGACCGAAAATTTGACAGTTTTCTATAATTCTTTTTGTTAGTCATTTTGGAGCTTTGTAAAGTTTCAGTTCGTGTCTATTTACCTATTTATTTAGTAGATCCGATAGATTCAGATAGAGTTGTTATATAAATAATATAACTACTTCTATAATGACCCATTGATACCGATAGTCAAGTAGCTGTATCTGACTTCCATTAAGGTCATAGTACTAGTTTTTGGCAGTACCGAAATTTCCGTGGCTTTTTAACTTTTTCTAGTTCGTGGTCAAGCACGCAGGAGACTGATGATCATCCCCAAGATTGGGGCGGTTGGGAATCTCCTGTTCTCTCTCTCTCTCTCTCTATATATATATATATATACATTTATATATGAGATTGAGAAATGAGAGCTATGCATAAAAAACTGCACCAGATAATAGATAATATAGCACATTACGTAGTCTGTCATCATTTTTTGGACAGAGACAACGAATCATTTAGGCTTTGTGATATCACCTTACTGACATTCGCTTTAAGGACGTTTGGATCGTGTCCTTAAATTCTACCAGATTGTGATAGATAACTCATGTATAAAAATTTAAATAATACTTGTTAAACGTGTAATACTATTCAGAAGACAATGATATACCGCGTTCTTCAATGGAGCGTGAGAACACCCAGCTCCGCTTACAGGAAAAGTCAATGTCCTACCGTCCTTTTTGGGGCAGAGTTTTTTTTTTCATATGACCTACAAGTATCATTTGCAGATTTATTTCTTTTTCAAACGACACAAAGAAAAAAATGTGCAGACTCTGCTATAGTTACCAAGTGGAAGAATAGGTCAATGCGTAGTGTGTACTTTATCTGACCTTGGATCATGCAACTTTTTTGTACCCTAAATTTTTAGACGGAATGTGAAAATGATAGTTCATTGAAAATGTTATATTAGGTCATTTAAAAAAAAAAAAACAGCTTGTTTGACCTCTCTCGGCGGATTGACTAAAAATGGTCAACGTGTACATTTTATTATCGCTACATTTTCAAATCAACTAGCTGCAGAACTGTAGCTCTCCGAAAAATACAGATGAAGATCTGTCAATGCGGTCTGTCAATATATTTTTTTCGGAGAGCTACAGTTCTGCAGCTAGTAGGATACATGATATAATTTGCATAACGGTGGTGGCATTAGAAAGGAGAGGGGTATTCTGTTTTCACGGGGGAGCATTATTATGTATAGATTTATTTAAAAAACTTGAAATGAATAAAATCATTTTTAAATCTATAAAGGGGTACAAAGTTATATCTCTGACAAGAGATATAACTTTCCAAGTTCAAAATACGAATAATACTCACATTTTTCTTTGTCAGAGTTTCCTAATGTAGACCTGTGAGTATTTACTTTGATCACATCTAACATCTGATGAAAACATTATTTTCTATTTCTTTTGCCTACACTTTGTAAATAATTTTATACATGATATAATTTGCATAACGGTGGTGGCATTAGAAAGCAGATATTTAGGGGGTTTAATTTTTCAATAAGTTTTCACAAAAAATTGGAGGAGCATTCCAAAATTATTTGTTAGCATTTATTTAAAAAACTTGAAATGAATAAAATCATTTTTAAATCAGTGTGAAAGTAACAATCAAATGCAATGGGAAAGAAAGTTATATCTCTGACAAGAGATATAACTGAACATTTAGAAATCGTACTCACAAGTTCAAAATAAGTGTTAATATTTTCACATTTTTTCTTTGTCAAGTTTACATTACTAATGTTTTAAACCTGACGGAAGAGTAGAAAATTCAATAATCTGTTTACTTATAAAATTGATCACATAAAAATCTAACATATGATGAAAACATTATTTTCTATTTCTTTTGCCTACACTTTGTAAATAATTTTATTATGTTTAACAAACAAATTAAACAAAAAAATTTAAATCCAATTTTTGAAAAGCCTTATAAATCAAATAAATTCTTTCTTTGCTTTTTTATGTTTTCTAAAATGATTTCAATATGTACGATACTAAATATTATTAAAAAGTTTACCTTTACCATCGATAAGATAATTTTATTCTATTTTATCTAAATTGGAAATGTTCGATGCGGTTTTTTTTCGAGTTTACTTCATATCAGAAAAGCTACAAATGATATCATACATGTATAATATAATTGGGATTTTCCTCCCATGAAAAATGAAAATACGATAAAAAAAAAAATCGAACGTATGAATTTTTTTTAGTTATTTTACAAAATTCTTGTAATTTTGAGGACAACATGTAAGCGAGAAACAAGCGACGTTTTTGAATAGAAAATTGTTTCTTATTGTGACGTCACATCCAAGGAATCGATTGTGATGTTGCACTACGTCACATAAAACGGTATTTTTAGCTGAGATTTCAAAGAACACAAAGAAAATAAAGGAAGTAAATTCAAGTAAGTACTTTTTTTTTTACAAAGAAAATATTATAGTAAGAAGGCAAATTTTGATTAATACTGTCAAATAGAATAAAGATACTGCAAAAAAAATCAGGTTTGTCTAGCACTAGCTGCATATCTGTAACTCGCTGGTCTGAAACAAACTAGAAATAGACGACCAGAGAGCCAAAGTGCAGCATACGGAAAAAAGGTGTGTATTTCACACAAAGGTTCAATGTGAATTCTTCCATATATTTAAGCTGTCATCTCAAAATATTACTAATCGTGTGTTTCTTTACATTATTTTACTACTTTCACACCGAAACATTTCCCCAAAAGGCTGTAACTGTCTTTACAGTGCTGAATTCATTATGACGTCATAATTGTTTTAGATACTTTTTTCCGTACTTTACGATTAATAAAAATAACTATGTAAAAATTAAACCATTTTAATGGAATTAAATTTGAAATCATGTCAAAAGTAACCTCAATACCTGTATTAAATCTTTTCCCCAAAAAAATTATAAAATTACCTATTGCATTTTTCGGTATAATTTTTGAATAATTAAAACGTTAATTAATTTTTTCTATGTGTGCCTTTATTTTTGGATTTTTTATATGGAATTCATTGTAAATATGTTTTAGAAGAATAATTGATGAAAAAAATCTTTTGACGAAACGAAATCAAGAGGGAAATCAAAACGAAACCTGTTATATTCAGAATGTTTTTCAAATCAAGCTATATACATGTAGTTATATATAATGTGTAACTGCATATGGTCTATTTTTACTTCATATGAAATTTATATACTTCAAGCACCACAGACAATTGTTTCTCTTCAAGCTCATACAAAGGCGTCGGAAGGAAATTGAAAGTGGGGGGGGGCTTAACCAACAAAAAAGGTCAACCCCAATTTTCAATGCCTATATAATAATATATGTCTTTGCAAAAAAGTGGGGGGGGGGGTAGCCCCCCCCCCCCCCCCGCTTCCGACGCCTTTGTCATATTTTGTAAATATCACAATTACCTGTGAATTGAAAGAGTACTTTTCCCCAAAAAACATTAGATAAAATTCCCACAGCCTATTGCATTTTTCAGTGCTTTTTATTTTAAAACGCATGTAACACATCAATTTCGATAGATATGTTGTTCTAGATAAAAAAGAAAATAATAAAAATTTCCCAATTATTTAAAAAAGGGCAGCTGGCAAACATGACCATCATTGACTCACTCTCAAGGCAACAAGGGTAAATTAAGGCAATACCAATTTTTGTCCTATGTGTGCCTTGGTTTTTGACACCAAATATCAGGAAAACCAAAATCAGTCTTGAAGCATTTATCGGTAATTAAATTTTATATTAACAAGTGCTTGAACTACATAAATTTTATTTGATTAAAAAAATTTGGTTACACATATATATAATTAGATAAATCTTGGGATTTGTCAAATAATTCTATACAAATGTGTGCAGTATGTCAAATTAAGTTAATTTAAGCATTCATTAATTTTGATAAAACATACATTGTATAGATATGTAAAAACATAGATCTAAGTAATATGAATATATATACATGTATGTTCACGTGGATTAACATATGTCAATTCAAAGCAGTGCATCTTATTTGTAATTCAATAGGCAATGGGTATTTCCATGTGTAAAAATAAAGACCGTCCTCCTAAGACTCTTAGTCGTCAGTCTGAACGCTCGGATCCAAACTACGGAGTCCTATTGGCAATTAACCGCAGGAAAGAACCATCTCCTGGGGCGTCGAACCAAACCACCCAAAATAAAGAAAAAGCTAAGATATCCATCGCCAGTCTGTACGAAAAAAGATACACACCAGCATTCAGCGGAATGACTGCAGCATACAGTGGTAATTTTTGTTTTCTTTGTGTATAAGCCTCCCCACCCCACCCACCTCCTTCCTTTTTTCAATGAAAGTCTTTTGTTTGTTTTGACCACTTTTATTTCTGATATATGTAAATGATGTTGCCGACATACGTTATCAGTGTGTAGAAATTATCCCAACCCTCGGAATATTCTTTTTAGACGCCTTTTTAACTTACACAAATTTGTTATTATAGGAGTGACGTTAATTTGTCTTTTAGGGAGAGGGGGAGGGCAACCAGAAACAAAAAAAAATCAACTTAAAAAAAATTAAGCAAAAAAAAAAAATCGTTCAAACTCGAAAAAAAAACTAATTTGACACTACACTGCAACAAGAAGTGCGGGGCAGGGTGGGGGCAATCTTTCAATAAACATTTTCTTTCCTAAAACATGTTTAGAAAAAAAGGTGGCCGCCCCCCCCCCCCCCCTCATTACTTCATACCTGCGTATCTTGATAAATGCACTTTTCTTTTTTTTTTTTACAAGATTTGCTAAAACAGAAACCACCTCCGAGAGCGCCAACTAAAATTGATGTTGACTTCGTCTTCAAAGTAAGAGAAGATGCCCTAAACATAAATCCTTTTGCTGAGGTTGACGGTTCATCGCGCGTCAAGGAGCGCAGGATCAGTATCATGGATAACGATCCCGATTTGTTGAATATCTGCCGGATTTTCCGGAAAGGAAAGCGCGCTGGAAAGGGTTTAACTGTTGGGATTGAAAGTCAAAGTAATTAAAGACGGGTTTAAGTGCCTTATTCCTTCTTAGTATGGTTTGTCGTGGAAGATAATAAATACACAACAATTACTCATGTTCCATTCTTCTTAATTTGCATTACGTAAATTACACATTTTACACATTTACATTGACAAGATTTTGTGATATTGTTCCTCATCAAAAAACTTTTGAAAAAAAAAAATCCGACTTTTGTGTAAGGATTTGTAACAAGGAAACATTTCATAAAACCTTGGAAGGTTAACGTTATTATTAAATACAGAAAAGTTTTAAAAATATGTGAATTATAAGTAGTTAACCATTGATCGTAGTCAATTAATATTACATTGTATATGTCACAAAACTTTGATAAACGAAAGTCGGGAAGGGAAAATGAAAATAACTCCTAAACTGAGGTAGTATGGTTCCCGAGCTAAGGAAGGCCTTGGGACCAGGGTAAAATTGATGCAGATATTTTTTTTTCTCTTCTAGGCTTAAGGTCAGATGATACAAACATTTTTTTTCTTTGGGGGAGACTTATTTTATTGAAATATTTACTAATATTTTCCAAGTCTATTTCATTTTCCAGTTCTTTTGAGAAAATATTCTACGAATTATACACTTTTCTAAACTTGTGACATGTTATTAAGTCTCCTCCAAAGAAAACAATATTTGTATAATGTGTCCTTAACTATTTTTTTTCATTATTAGATTTCTCTTAAAAAATTAATGGCCATTTATTAAAAGATCCAGAATCGGACTGAGCCTCGTTTGAATATAAGCTTAGACATAAATGATTTGTAGAAATACATTATTTTTTGATGGCTCGTTTATATCATAAATTTATAAAACTTGTAGCAAAGTATAACCCAGACTCCCTGTTAACGGGGACACAAATGCATATTGCAGCTAGAAGGCGACACAATTGATGACATGTCTTATTGTATTCTTAACTGACAAGGTAAGTCAGCGAAAATAAAACTGCAACCAGGAAGTTAAAATTGACAACACATCATGTGAACGAAAAAAGTGGCAAGGTTAAGACTAAGGACAAACAGCGGGCAAAGGGTTTACTAGAGAATTTTTTTTTTTTAAAAATCCGTTCCTATATAAATGGTTTTAAAAATCACATTTTTGTTTTATTATATGAAATTGAATCATTTAATTTCATAGGCGTCGGACCTCGGAATCTTCTTACGGATAAAACCAAGTGTACATGGAACCCTACAGAGCACGTCATTTCCAATTTGCTTGACGAATGTGATTTCTGTAGTACAAACCTAGTACAAACACCTGTAGCAAGACAAAACAGAGTATTACATTCTGTCATTTGATACAGTTACAGAATAAATATATTTGATAAGTTCATCATTTTATAAGTTTCTCTAAAAAAAAACAATTATTCTAAAACGTGTGCACAGTGTGATGAACAGTTTCTATTCCTGTTATAAACAATTACTGACAACTAATCATTGTGCAGTGATTGGTTATTATCATGTTAAAACAGCATAAATATGTTGGCCTTCGGGTAAAAGATAAGTATGCGAGAATGTAGTAATTCGCAGATCAGTACATAGATATAACACACTGCTGAGAATGAACCACCTGGATAGCACAGGCAATTGGCCATGTCCAAGTGGTAGCGTGGCCGAGCGGTCTAAGGCGCTGGTTTAAGGCACCAGTCTCTTCGGAGGCGTGGGTTCGAATCCCACCGCTGCCATACATTTTTCTTGAGAGAATGAAGATTATCCCATAGAACATTGTTCAAAATTATACTGCATTTTTTAGTTGAATCCGATTTGTCGAGAAACGTTTATTTCATTAAGAAACAGTATTTTCATGCCCTTCAGTGTAGCAACAGTCAATATCGATTGACGACGGCTAGCTGTCTGTCCGTCTGTCTGTAAGCAATGTTTCAAAACACTACTCCTCCTACGATTTTAACCTGATTTCATTATAACTTGACACACAAGCAGTCTGAACTAAAATACATACGAGGTTTGATTAAAAACTTTGCGAAACTAATTGAGTAACTTCCATAAAAGAAAAGATATAGGGTTTCAGTGTTGAAATATTTTTAAAACTAGTCCTGTCCAATTTACGCACATCTGCAACCGTTTTGCCCATGTGCGATTCACGTGATTTAGGCGGTCACGTGACATCCTGTTTAGCGTTCTGTCACAGAAGATGAAAGATTTTGCCGACTCTTATATTTCTTACCATGCAAGTTTTTTTTTGTTTTTTTTTTAAATAATAAAACAGTCAATTATGTCAGAAATGGCTAAATCTCGGCAATGGTACATGTGTATTAGGATATCCTTTTCCAGAATGAGCATGGTGACCATCAAAACCCAAGAACTCTGTCTTGGGGGCGTCGTTTATTCAATATGGATAAAGTATGAGTGCCTCGATAATTATATTATTGTTAAGATATTCATCTTTTTTTTCTAACTGTAAGTTGGCGATCTTTAATTTTAATTCTATTTTTAATTTTTTATTTTAGGACACATCTCTTCCAGAGCTTGCTTTTACTGGGCAAGAACAAACATCATTTCTAAATTTTTCGCTTCCTTCATTAAAACAATCAATCCAATTAATGACTTAACTTCTGACAAGTCTTTTCTCCACAGGCACTTGGGGGCTGCCCCCCCCCCCCCCTTTCATTTTTTTTTTAAATCTGGCGTTGGCACACCTTTTCCCTATTTTTGGTAGTCTAATGTGCACTACTTGGTATCGATAATGCAACCCTTTTGTCTCTATAAGCCGTTTTTAAGTATATCGTTTTCGACTGAGCCTATTATATGGAACGCCGGGGCTGTCTTATATGAGGATTAAACATTATATGCGGTCCCTGCGTACCATACTCTCTCCCATTCTGAATAGAGCTATATATATGAGGACTCCGGACCGTGGCTTGAAACGATGACAGTACATAGATTTGCTATATTATAAGTCTCTCTACAGTAAAAGCATACCGCACTCTTAAAACATGTTCAGAAGTATGTATATATAAATATGAAATATGGAATAAAAATTATATATATATATTCAAAATGATAGAATATATATATATATGTATATATATAAAACTTTAAACAAACTGAAAAGCACTGCTATATCTTTAATTTTAATTTAATTTAGCCTGTGAGTGTGACGTGCTTCGGAAACACAATGCTGCTAGAAGTAATGTTATTACCATTGATCAGAGACATATCAGAGAGTCTCTGCATTGATTGATTCTGAATAACCTCCACTGTCTTTGAAATACAAAAGCTTTTTTGAAAAGAAAGTTGAAAGAATCTTGTGTGAGGTGCCTAAGTTAATCTCACACTTTAGTTTTCTTTTATGCATATTTATAATAATATTCTTTTCTCTGTGGTTGATTTTGCGGTACCCCAAAATATAAGTAAAGAAAGATAACTCTGCTTGTATAAATGAATTAGTTTATTCTGTTCGTTCTTTTATGCATTCTTGTTTATATGTAAAAAAAAAAACTTGTATTATTTGTATCCATATACCCCAGTTGGGGTCTTTGTCTTAAATAAAAACTTGAAATTTGAAACTTGTTCTGTACATGGTTAGATATTTGTGGTACCCCAAAATTTAAGTAAAGAAAGACAACTCTACTTGTATAAATGGATTTTAAACATAGGTAATCAGAGATTACAGAGCTCACCTCAACGTGTGTTGTCTTTAAGTAAGGCAAATTAAGTCACACAATTAACCAACAAAAAGTGTACATCCAAAAATGCAAAATTTATGCAAATTTGATACTTTGGAATAGACCTATATAAAAACTAAAAACTAGTTCTTCTTCATGAAAATGTAATTAAAATCCAGCATCTGAAGCAAGATTGAGAGTTTTCATTCCTTGATGCATCATTTGTGCAACTGGTTTATATAAGCCTTATAGTTTCTTGGTGATAGACTTGTACCCATAACTTTTACGAGGTCTATTATCTGGAAAATGTATGTCGAATTCAGCATCTGAAGCAAGTCCATTCGTGTGCATCCTAAGATGTATCATCCATGCAAGTTTGGTCAACATAGGGCTTAAAGTTACTTGCAAATGAAACCTGTAAAAAAAATTAACCTTTCCACTAATCCAGAAAATGTAGGTCAGATTCAGCATCCGAAGCCAGCCTAGTAGAACGCACCCTTAGATGTACCATCCATGCAAGTTTGGTCATTATAGGGCTCAAAGCTACTTGGAAATAATTCCTGCACCATAAACTTTAACCTGTTTACTCGTCCAGAAAATGTAGGTCAGATTCAGCATCCGAAGCAAGTCTGGTAGTATGCATCCTAAGATGTACCATCCATGCAATTTAGTTGTTATAGGGTTCATAGTACTGTACCTTGAAATGAAACCAGCACCCAAAATTTTAACCTGTTCACTCAACCGGAAAATGTAGGTCAGATTCAGCATCCGAAGCAGGTCTTGTAATATGCATCCTAAGATGTACCATCCATGCAAGTTTGGTCATTATATGTCTCATAGTAACTTGGAAATGAAACCTGCACCAAAAACTTTAACCTGTTCACTCAACCGGAAAATGTAGGTCAGATTCAGCATCCGAAGCAAGTCTAGTAGATTACATCATAAGATGTACCATCCATGCAAGTTTGGTCATTATAGGGCTCAACGTATCTTTGAAATGAAACCTTCACCAAAAACTTTAACCTGTTCACTCAACCGGAAAATGTAGGTCAGATTCAGCATCCGAAGCAAGGCTGGTAGTATGCATCCTAAGATGTACCATCCATGTAAGTTTGGTCATTATATGTCTCATAGTAACTTGGAAATGAAACCTGCACCAAAAACTTTAACCTGTTCACTCAATCGGAAAATGTAGGTCAGATTCAGCATCCGAAGCAAGTTTAGTAGAATACATCCTAAGATGTACCATCCATGCAAGTTTGGTCATTATAGGGCTCAAAGTATCTTCAAAATGAAACCATCACCAAAAACTTTAACCTGTTCACTCAACCGGAAAATGTAGGTCAGATTCAGCATCCGAAGCAAGGCTGGTAGTATGCATCCTAAGATGTATCATCCATGTAAGTTTGGTCAACATAGGGCTTATAGTTAC